GTATTTTTACACTGGTGAAATGTCTAATTTTTTATCCTTAGTTTTATACTTATCCCAGTATTTACCACGACTTAAAAAGCAAACTGGCATTTGTTACTTCCAACTGCAATGCTTTATTTTTACCAATTTTCTCAACACATATAAATAATTTGTGCCGGCTATTTAGTCGTCCATTTTTCACAGCTACATGTCTATAATTCTTCTTATTCCAATGCGCATGCTTTTATGTAAACGAAGAGATAATTTTACAATGCAGGGCTGGACAAAATTTGCTCTAAAATTGTAATCGCTTAATTTCACCTCACTTGTCATTTGTAGAGTATTGGCTTTAGCTCAATCATACCTATTGGCAAGCAAATTATATTTCATATTCTAAGAGTATAAGGAATGCAATTCTGCTGCATTGTCATCCTACAAAATGAGTCTGTGTTTCTTGATTAGTTGTTGACAACGTTTGTCTCGTCATATTTGGGACAGTATCCTTATCAAATTTTTTTACAGTCTTTATTTTCCTGATACACTACAAATAGCTTATGCATATTCATCAATTTCATGTTTTACATTGTATTCATTCATTTTCTTTCGTTCTCTAGCTTTCGTATTAACGTTTCATTCATTGTGCACATTTAGTAATTAATTAATTATTCCTCATTCGAATTCTACTTAATATTAATAATAGGTCGGGGTCGCTCGGGTCAATCCAACACTCCCAGATCTGGCTTTTATCCTATCGCTTCTAGTGGAGCGCAAGTTTCCACTTCAGTGCACCCCAGTGGTGAATCCGGGCTTATCACTACTGTCACATGTAGTGAGGCTAACAGCGTCCACTCGCATTCCTCACGTACTGGCCATGGGCCAAGCAATGGAACCCTAATGGACGCCTCTGAGGCTGCCCGTTCTCGCGGAGAGGCATTTGCTGAGGCCCGATTTAGCGGTCGAACCACTGTTCCTCCACCTGTAACCACACATTCTGCTCAAACCGCTCCCACAGTCACACAGACTACGCCATCCGCCTCTTCTCTCTCGAATACTGGTCATGTTTCATCCGATCATCAAACTCATTCAGGGCAGTCATTG